GCAGTTCGGCTAAAAGTGACGTCACCCCATTCAAAGTGAATGGGCAGAAGCGTTGGAAGCTTCAACGCACGCCGCTGTGTGGACGGGCCGTTACAGCTGGATGTGAGGCACATTCTGCTGCTGTAATTTCATTTTAGATTTTACAGTGCTGTAAAATTGGAGTAGAAATTGGCCCAATTCCAAACCAAACCCTACACACTACCACCCACAGGAGTGACACTCGCAGCTTTGGGGCGACCTCTCCAGCAGAAACAGGCCATAACTTTCCATAACAACGGTTTCAAATCAGCAAAAAATAATAACTAAAATGAAACTCTAAAAATCTTAAATGGCATTTATTTGATATAAACGTATTTTTGGTTTAAAATCTGATGTTTATAAGCTGCTAAGTTTTTGCAACAGTCCCTGTAAATGTATACTTTATAATCAAATGCACACATTTACCGTTTTCTTGACTAAACACGGGTATATGATCCTTTGTTAAGAAAAATACGAGCTAACCATGACGTTGTTAACATCTGAATGAAATGATTAAATGTCTATCTTGTTGTATCAGTAAATGTTTGCACGGAACTGTTTGTAAAAGTGTCTCATGACGGACACACACAGCGTTGGGTGGGTCAGGCAGAGCAGCAGGTGAAGTCAGGTGATGCAGACTCTCTGTTGGAGGGCTTGTAACCCACCCCCCCTCCACACTTGTTGGTTTGGAACGGCACTTTGGAATTGGTCCCAAATCTACTCTAGCGCCCTTCTGTTATCCTTTTCCTGAACAGCAGGGGTCCCCAGGCACTTGAGTCAGTTGCTGCCAATATTTGGCTCCTGTTGTGCTGCATCTGGCACCAATGAGGACAACATCATCTTATTAATCCTTTAATACAATACATTTGATGTTTTTTATGTTTCTATCAATGTTTTGTCTAATCTCATGTTCCTGCTTATCCATAATTGCTCATATTGTTTCAAAAATGTATTAAATCCTGGTAATGTGGTGTTCTCAGGGGCCATAGGAGGAAGAGTAAGGATTGCTCAAGGAGCCCCCGGAGGAAAGCAAGGTCACCCTCCCCAAAAAGGTAAACTCATCGTCTCCTATGCTAACCGTTGTCTTTTTTTTCAAGGTGTATTTACTGTTTACAATATCAGTGATTTTGTGTGCATGATTATGATGTTTGTCCTTATGTCTGCATTGGCTTTTTCAGAGGAAGGAAAGACAAGAGGAGGGAGCGCAGCAGGGACAGGAAGGAGCGCTCAACATCCAGGAAGAGGAGCCGCAAGGACGAGGAGAGGATGAAGAGCAAGGCCAAGCCAATGAAGGTAATAAAGCTGTTAATTAAAACACCTTGCTTTAAAAGACCTCCCTCTGCAGATACCAGAATCTGCTGTTCATTTCCTCCTGCTCAAGCAGCCAAGTGAAGCTGTTGGACTGCTGATATTTGAATGAGCTGAGCTTTGTAACACTGACAGACATGAGGGGGATGAGATGTCTGTCCCACTGCATGTCTGCAAATCTCTGATTTCCTGTCCCCTAGAAATCCCCCCCGAGTAATCTGTTTTTTTTTTATCAGAGGTTACAAAACTCAAGAATCAAACCTTGTGAACACCGACCTACTTTCTAATTTTGAGATCACACAAAGGAGATAGCCATCAGATAAAGGTGACACATTTTAATCCTATCGCGCTCCATCTTTGCTTCCGATAACAATCAGAACATTTGTTCAACAAATGGCAGCGGTTCTTCTCAGAAACCACTGCTAACCTGCAAAGTGCCTGCATAGCACAGTCTGTGTATTCATGACAAGTTTCAAAGTTCAAAGTCATTTAGACAGATACAGCCAAAATGCGTTTAATAATACACATTCACCCTGTAGACATATCCGCAGTAATCTTTTTTATTTACCGAGTCATTGAACACAGTATAACGGCAAACATTTAAGAATAAAGTCTGTATTGGAAACAAGTGATGGAAATGGAAGGCAGTGCAGGTTCGCTGTTCAGTGTGAATCCTCCTGTCTGCAGCCAGGAAGGATTCTGTAACTGAATTTGGAACAGAACCCACACTTTATTTCTCGACTGTGGAAATGTGATATTTTTTCACATCCCAGATGAACAAAGGCATTTAAACGTAAGTTTTGTTAAAAAAGGAGACATGATTTCACTAGACTGAACTATAACTGGGATTTATAAATGAGTCTTAATCCTAGTTTATAAAAAAAAATGTTTGAGAATGAATTGAGAAAAGCTGAACCCACTACTTGCACATAAGACACATTGAAAATACACAAGATATTACTTGCCGTTGCCATCGTGTATTGAGATATATAGATAACGTTATATATATATAGAATTATTGAAGGAATCAAAATACTTTTAGCAAGATGCTTATTTTAATTTAAGTTACCTGTTGATGTTCTAGTAATGTAAATCTTTGACCTTTTAGTACCTGAACTTTGAGCCGACCAGGTTTGATTGTTACTCGTTCAAATTCCAGGTGGAAAGGGACTACGACAGGGAAGAGAAGGACGAATATGAAAGTGACAGAGAGGACACGCTCAGTGAGGACATGATGTCATCACCCTGCGCCCAGCAGAACGGCAGCTACAAGACTCACAATGAATATGCATCAATGGGTGCGGACAACAACAAGGGACTATTCCATCGCCATGGAAACTAACCCTTTTTTTTGTCAAATTATGGCAGCACCCATCACATGAGTATAACCTCATAAACAGCAGATAACCACTAACAACAGCATGTTTGTCTCATCATCATCATCATCATCATCATCATCATCATCACCACCATCATCATCATCATTATCATCACAACCTGATTTCTACAGCACATCGTTGCATGGACGCTGTTAATCATTCTCAATATCACACTTTAAGGGCACTCGTAAGATTTTGGGACTTGCAGCAGGTACACTTGATACAATGTACAAAATCAGTACAACACTAAATAATACAAGCTTAGGAACACCGCAACAATAACTGGACTTTAGACGTATTGGATTGCATAACCCAATATAAAAATGTTGCTCTCTATTCCTCCAGTAAACATCTCAACCACACTTAGTTGTTCAAAAAGCCTTTATTGCCTTCAAAATGATCAGTATTTGTGTAATAGTGTAGTAAGTATTCATAGTTCATAGTAATGGTCTGCAAAGGCTAAAATCCCCACTAACGGTAAGCTGCTGTTTTCTCAATGCATAGACAACTCACTTTAACTCTGACTGATCTAATGCTTGGTCAAAAAATGGGTGCAGCTCTGTTAAAAAGGCGCTTTTATGCTTTTTGTATATGGATCAGCAAAGACTAAAATCCGAAAGTTCTCACCAGAGGGAGTTTCTCTCCGACACCCTCATTAATAGGGCCATTTTTCATAGAAACTAAAACATCCCTCTCTCTGACTGAGGTCTCATGGGGTGTAACTGTTTTCTCTAAGTCTGCTTCTCTGGCCTGGGTGTGGCTGTGACAACAACTTCCCGTATTCTGCTGGCTTATTTACCGAGTGAAACAAATGGTAACTTTTAAGGTGTAAGAACATGAAGGAGTGTATTGAAAAGTTGCCCTTTGTGTGGCGTTAAAGGGAGATTTGACAACCAGGTTTGTGAAATGTCCTTTTCTTCCTGCTCTGCCTCCCGGTCAACTGCTGTTGAGACTTGAAGTGTTGTAATGTGAGAATGCAAAATGGTGTTATTCTGTTCCTCTCAACATGTTGCTAATGTGTTTTATAAAAAGAAACATTTCTGATATGGTCACCATGAATTCATCATTTTATATTTTGTTTTATGAGTGTACTTTCACTTGCTTTTATATATTTCAGGTTAGTTGCTAAATCATAGCTGTCACAATGTTTGTTTTCCCTGTTGTTGTTGTTGTAATGCTGTGAGATAAAAAAAAAAGAAGGTATTTACTGTTTTTTTAAATACTAAAAAAGCCTATACTGTAAACAAGATGATGGTGGTGTGCACCATGTGTGTTGGCTCATATTGCTCTAAAGAAAGTGAGACGCAAACAGAGCCTGGATATGTCAAAGGTCAAATACTTGCCCGCACAGAAGGGTCAAAAAGTGCCTAGACTAAGATTGTACAGAATATTCTAATAAAATATGGAGACTTATTGACAGATGCAACTTGGAATTATTGTTTAGGATGTTAAATACGTGAAGTTATATTTAAGTATTGTCAGCTGTCTTTAGTAATGAATAGAGTAGATTGAACCTTCAGTGAATTTGTCTTTTTATTTCACAATCTGTTCTATCATTTTTAAATTTGCTGTTCAGTTTGCATAATTGTGATTGTGTCAAAGATGTGTCCGCAAACTGGCCCCGCATTAACATCATTGCTTTTAGGAAAGCTTTCATTTTAAATGGAATTTAAATTCCACCTTTATGGCTTTTACAAACCGAATAGGTTCTTTTCCCGCTTTTTTCATTGACACAAAGCTTCAGTTTGTAGTGGTGAAGTTGTGATGTTTAATAAAAAATAAAAAAACATTTTCGACACAATAACACAAACCATGTTTTGTATCCACCATGTATTGTCAATATGTAGAAAAGATTCATGGTTTGTTCTGGGGGGTAAGGCACTTGATATCTGTGTTTGGGACTTCATCTGAAGGTTTGGAGAAAACAGTTTTTGAAGAGCCTGTATGTATGTGCTCATCCTCAGTTTGAAACTGACAAAACATCTGATCTGTTTCCAAAAACACTCAATAAAGACACTTTTCATTCAGTCATTTGGTCTCAATTGTGTCCTTCCACCAAGTAATTGCTGATTTCGACCTTTACTTTCTTGGTCATTTTACTGTAAAATGGTGCCGTTCCGAAAAATTTGAATCATTAGTGAAAAAGTTTCTATTTAAATGTTGCATGTTTTTCTTTTTGTTTAAACTCAGCATCTCTGCACAGTTGCAGATATAGAAAAGGCATTGAGACGATTGTTCAATTGAACTTCATTTCAAAGTGATTATAATCATTTCACTAATGCTTATGAAGCCGGAGCATTTCAATTAGGTCTTTTTTGCCCTTTTTATTCAAACGTCAAGGTTATCCATGTACAGATGAAAATAGCATACTTTATGTTCAAAGATGTATCTCAAGAAATGAGCAGAGATGTTAATGTGCATTTTCAAGTAGCGTAGAAATACATACAGTATAGAGTTTCTGGATTTTGTGGAATGGCATACTGTATGTATGCCATTCCACAAAATCCAGAAACTATATGTATGTGGTCTGATTCAGATGTTCATGGACAATGGTTCTTGTGTTCCAAACTCTTTTCACAAAATCCTGGATATCTCCTTGCCGTCCAAGATTGGACTAGTACTAAATTGGCTCATATAGTCCAATTCTGATTTCACCACAGTCCACTCTGTGTCCTCTGGGTCGCTTTCTGTGTCTTGAGAAAAGGACGTCCTTGCTGGCATGCTCTGAGGAATCCCCTGCTGAAACATTTCTATTGTCGTATAGTCACATGGAAATGTGAAAGGAGAGCTCTGGGGGTCTATCCTGTTGATGTCTGGGATGATTTTTCCAGTAATGTCAGATGGGATTTCTTCAGTTGAGTCTCCTGTGTCTCCCTGGATCCAGTTACAAGTCATTTCTGTTGAGTCTTCCTCATCATCTGAGGCGTGGAGGAGCGGCAACATTGATGGCAATGGGCTAGCAGGGATCACTTCTTGTTTTTCTACTATCTTCAGGCTGTTTGTATCCCATTCTTCCATCTCCAGGTGGTTTATGGATCCTAGTAGTTCCTGAGTGAAGTAAAAACAGCTCCTCATTAACTTAAGCTGTACTTTGTCTCAGACTGGCTGGATGTTGTGTTTTGCTTCATAATGTTAAAACTGCAAAAACAGACACTCACCAGTTCACAGGGCTCTTCTATTTTCTGCATTGCGTTGCTTTTTCCAGGGTTAGGTATGCTCGGCCACAGAATGACTTTTGCTCTAGTTAAAGTAGGTAGTGTAGAGTAAGTATTTACCAATACAAACATGTAGGGACAGCTTGTTCAGCATATGAAAGAAAGTGACTGTACCTTTTTATTACCGGAGATCCAAATATAAGCACAATGCCTATAACTGCAAAGATTGTGATGACACCAATGAGTTTAGAAAGTTCTACGGAAAGAAAGACAGCAGGAAAAACACATTTAGTGAGGCAGTCTAACAAATTACATTGTATAAATGTTTAGTGATGAAAAGATTTTTGATTAATTTAACCTTGATATTTTGTTGTAAAAAAGATTGGTGTGCTTCGTACTCCAACTCCCGCCTCAGTGAAACCTGATATCTTGACTCCATATGCTGTGCCATCTTTGAGATCCCCCAATTCATAGCTGTTTGACATTGGATCCATTGTAATATCTGCAATGAAAGAGAGACAGGTTTTGAGCACGTGATTTGGACACATCTGCCTTCAAGTTAGGCTGGATTTCAAAATACTAAACCATCATTTACTTTTGGCAAAACAGATAGGGATGGTGACATAAATCAGTCGGTTGGTCAACAACTTTTATCCAGACTGACATCTCTAAACAACCTTTAGGTGAATTTGTACCAATAATCATTGTCCCCGTAGAGCCCCATGTTTTTGTTCAACTTCTGACTTTCTTAGTTGTGCCATTAGCTGGTTAAATGTGTCTTTATCTAGTTTTTAACAACTGGATTTAATGAGCTAAACTCATGTGGTGATTCCTGGTTTTTGGTGAAAATGTGCAACTAAGGACTTTCCTATCATCCTCACCTGAACAACACATAATGCTAATTCGCTAATGTTTGCATGCTACCAAGGTACAATAAGATGGACATGGTAAACATTAGGTCTGCTCAATATCAGTATGTTAGCATTATTGTTTGAGCATGTTAGCATGCTGACATTAGCAGCTAGCACAAGCTATTATGTGCATGAATATAATCGTATGGAGCTGCTAGCAGGCTGTATGGCTAAATTCAAAAACAGAACTTTCACAAGAGGAAATGCTGTCATCTAGGTAGAGCTATGTTGTTGTAGAGGTTTGTGATTGTTAGCAGTATGTTGTTAGTGCTTTTGTCACACCACATTGACAGCGTTCTTGTCTTGTCAAACCATCAAATTCCACTTATTAAGTTTGTAAGAATTGTCAGCTTTCAATTTCAGTCTATCAATATTGTTAATCAACCAGAGACTGAGACAGTGGTAAACAAACTAGCTGGTAGACAGGAAATCCACTGACAATAATAGGCTCGCAGTGTTTCCTACAGCTTTGAAATATACTTGGGGGGGTGGTGGTGCCGGGGAGGAGATGTGCAACAACATTAACATTAACCTTTCTGTTAGTCGCTTGTTAGCAGACCCTTCACACCATGGCAGAGCGAACAGGTACGGAAAGGGCCCATAGTGGTAGCCCTATAGTTTAAATCTACTACCCACAAATAAACATATGGACATGGGTTACTATTTTTAAAAAAAATGGTAAATGTATTTAGGAACCTATCAATGTGATTTTAAGTGGGGGTGGACCTCAAATCCTCTAGGAAGGTCCGGGGGCATGTTCCCCCAGTAAGATTTGTTTTAAAATGTTGGAGTTAAATGCATCAATCTGGTGCACTTTGAGGGGAAAATAAAGAGACTAGATACAGTGGGGCAAAAAAGTATTTAGTCAGCCACCAATTGTGCAAGTTCTCCCTAGGTATACCTCAACTATGAGAGACAAAATGAGAAAAAAAAAATCCAGAAAATCACATTGTCTGATTTTTAAAGAATTTATTTGCAAATGATGGTGGAAAATAAGTATTTGGTCAATAACAAAAGTTCATCTCAATACTTTGTTATACCCTTTGTTGGCAATGACAGAGGTCAAACGTTTTCTGTAAGTCTTCACAAGGTTTTCACACACTTGCTGGTATTTTGGCCCTAGGTACACTTCAACTATGAGAGACAGAATGGGGGGAAATAATCCAGGAAATCACATTGTAGGATTTTTAATGAATTAATTGGTAAATTCCTCGGTAAAATAAGTATTTGGTCACCTACAAACAAACAAGATTTCTGGCTCTCACAGACCTGTAACTTCTTCTTTAAGAGCCTCCTCTGTCCTCCACTCGTTAACTGTATTAATGGCACCTGTTTGAACTCGTTATCAGTATAAAAGACACCTGTCCACAACCTCAAACAGTCACACTCCAAACTCCACTATGGCCAAGACCAAAGAGCTGTCAAAGGACACCAGAAACAAAATTGTAGACCTGCACCAGGCTGGGAAGACTGAATCTGCAGGTAAGCAGCTTGGTGTGAAGAAATCAACTGTGGGAGCAATTATTAGAAAATGGAAGATATACAAGACCACTGATAATCTCCCTCGATCTGGGGCTCCACGCAAGATCTCACCCTGTGGGGTCAAAATGAGAACAGTGAGCAAAAATCCCAGAACCACACGGGGGGACCTAGTCAATGACCTGCAGAGAGCTGGGACCAAAGTAACAAAGGCTACCATCAGTAACACACTATGCCGCCAGGGACTCAAATCCTGCAGTGCCAGACGTGTCCCCCCTGCTTAAGCCAGTACATGTCCAGGCCCGTCTGAAGTTTGCTAGAGAGCATTTAGATGATCCAGAAGAGGATTGGGAGAATGTCATATGGTCAGATGAAACCAAAATAGAACTTTTTGGTAAAAACTCAACTAGACGTGTTTGGAGGAGAAAGAATGCTGAGTTGCATCCAAAGAACACCATACCTACTGTGAAACATGGGGGTGGAAACATCATGCTTTGGGGCTGTTTTTCTGCAAAGGGACCAGGACGACTGATCCGTGTAAAGGAAAGAATGAATGGGGCCATGTATCTTGAGATTTTGAGTGACAACCTCCTTCCATCAGCAAGGGCATTGAAGATGAAACGTGGCTGGGTCTTTCAGCATGACAATGATCCCAACACACCACCCGGGCAACGAAGGAGTGGCTTCGTAAGAAGCATTTCAAGGTCCTGGAGTGGCCTAGCCAGTCTCCAGATCTCAACCCCATAGAAAATCTTTGGAGGGAGTTGAAAGTCCGTGTTGCCCAGCGACAGCCCCAAAACATCACTGCTCTAGAGGAGATCTGCATGGAGGAATGGGCCAAAATACCAGCAACAGTGTGTGAAAACCTTGTGAAGACTTACAGAAAACGTTTGACCTCTGTCATTACCAACAAAGGGTATATAACAATTGATTGATTGAAAAGTTTATTAACAGCTTGTATATTGGGTACAGTACAGTACAGCTCAAAACATACAATTGTTAAGGGGATGCAGACCAGAGAAAGACTTTCGTCTTGTTTACATCAGGGTCCCCCATTTCCAATTCATCATATCATTTAAGACATATAAGACATATTTGACATACAGATGGCTTATTTACAATTTACATACAGGTGGTTTTTTACATACAGATTGCTTATTTACAATTTTCATTTTAGATTTCGTTCTAATACATCCTAACCGGACATTTAAGACATACCAAGTCTACAGATATACAGTTAGTAACAGAGTCTAAAATGCGAGTATATACATAGATGGGGGGGGGGGGAAGCTGTCCATTGTACGACAGGTTGAGATTTGTACCATTACCGGGGCCAGTTTTGCAATGCTCTCCCCCGAAGGTGCTCTTTAAGAGAGGTTTTGAAGGTAAGTATAGTTTTACTTTCCTTTACAGTTGTGGGAAGAGCGTTCCACTTTGATGTGACTTATTGCCTGAGATCGCATGCTGTGGTTTTATTAAATGTGCCAAGTGCTAGGACTGTCTTAGGGAAGAAAGCTTTTAGATGTGCAGCTCCACTAACATGGAACAGTCTGCAAAAAGAATGGAAAATTACCAAGCTAGTACCACTACATGTTTTTAAAGCTCGGTTGGATGCTACAAAATCAGATGCTGTTGGTACCGGTATGTGGTTAAATATGTAAATTGTAATCCCTGTACATTTTGCTGTATGATGTCCTTTTGTTGTTCTGTTGTTTATGTTTTTATGTCTTCTTGTGGAACCTACTGCTGCAGGTCTCCCTTGAAAAAGAGATCATTGATCTCAATGGGATTTTACTTGGATAAATAAAGGTTTTCTTGAAATGTGGCATAATTGCGAAACGTGTAATCCCCCTTTTTTTGTGCCAAATCTGGGTTTTACATGATTTGTGGAGCTCCCTCTGGTGTTATGATCATGGTATTTCTTGACCTTTGGGAAGAATTTTGACATGTACATGGGTACCATAGAGGTGTAGTGGATCTTGTAGACCAGGCCCATTGCAAGTAGCTGTACTCTGTCGTCTACTCTAAGCCATCCTAGGTTGTCAAAGTGGGCAGAGGTGAGGTGGGTTCTAGATGAAAGGTCAAGCAGTAGTCTGACCAGTTTATTTTGCGATGTTTGAAGTTTTATTTTTAGCGCCTTGGAGGGGCTATGGTACCATGACGTGCAAGCATAGTCATAGTACCCTTGAATGAGTGCTCCTGCCAGAGTTTTCAGGGTGTTTTTGTTTACCAGAGAGGAGATCCGGTACAGGAATCTAGTTCTTTGATTGACTTTTTTTTATTACATTGGATGCCATTTTGTCACAGGAGAGGTTTGCCTCAAGAATAGATCCTAGGTATGTAATTTCCTTCTTACTTGTGACAATAATGTCACCCACTGCAACTGAGAAGTCGTCGGATTTGCTGAGATTATGTTTCGAACCGAAGAGAATGGACTCTGTTTTACCCAGGTGTAATGATAATTTATTATCGGCGAGCCAGGTGCAGGTTCTGCCGAGCTCGGAGCTGAGGGTTTTTTCAACCTGCAATCTGCTCCTGTCAGAGACCAGCAGGGCTGAGTCGTCCGCGAACAGGAACAAGTTGCAGTCACATGCTGATGACATGTCGTTTGCATAAATTAGGAACAGTACGGACCTAATATGCTTCCTTGTGGAACACCACAGCTCACTGGGGGGGGGGGGGGGGACAGAGTACCGTTTACCTCCACCATCTGTTCTCTCCCCTCCAGGTAGGATTGCATCCAGCTCACCGATAGTTTATCAAAACCAATTGCTTTTAGCTTGTCAATCAGAATGGGGTGATTGACAGTGTCGAAAGCCTTTTGTAGGTCCAGCATCACCATGCCGCAGTACTTGCCCTCGTCCACCTCTTGTTTGATGTGGTCGCTCAAATAAAGAAGGCATGTGTCAGTGGAGTGGGATGTTCTAAAGCCAGATTGAAATTCATAGATTAGTTTCTTTTCCGCGAGGTACTTTTCGACCTGTTCATATACTATTTTTCCATGACTTTCGAGATGGAGGTAAGTATAGAAACAGGGCGGTAGTTGCCTGGGTCCAATTTGCTGCCCTTTTTGTGCAGGGGGGTTACTCTTGCAATTTTGAAGTCTTTGGGTACTTTTCCCTGTTTTATGGAGAGGTTAATTATGTGAGCTATGACTGGTGAGATGGCGGTTGCTGTGTCTCTGAGGAATTTGGAGGGGATATTGTCGTGGCCAGTGGCCTTGTTAGGTTGGAGGGCGCTCAGTTTAATGAGTACCTCTGCTGTTGTTACCCTTGCTAGACTGAAATCATCTTTGCGTACCCCTAGGTTTTTGTAGTAGGTCATGATGTGATCTACTCCAAAAAGCCCTGAGTGGGAGGGTAATTTATTTACAAGAGTTGTGGCTATGTTTGTGAAAAAAAATGTCAAGTACTTGGCCACATCCAGTTTGTCTGTGATGAGCCTGTTATCTGTCTTTATGTTTAAGTTAGAAAATCTCGTTTTGAGTTTTTTACTGCAGCCAAGCTGGTTATTGAGTAATTTCCAAAGTTCACGGGGTTTATTTTTGTTTTCCTCAGTTTTGACATTGATGAAATTCTTTTTGGCAGTTTTGATCATGGAGCTTACGTAATTTCTTAGTCTGTTTCTTTCAATTTTTAGTTCAGTCACGTGTGCCTGGAGTTCACTGCTCGTGCTTTTGGAAAGCATTGACTGACTTTTATGAAACTCAGAGCATTTTTTGTCTCTGGTTTTCATGGCGGTCAGTATGCCGGAGTGCATCCACGGCTCAGCGCGGTTTTTTATCCTGGTTGTTCTTAGGGGGGCCAAATCATTGAGTATTGCAGAGAATTTGTTTTTGAAACCAAGCCATGTTTCTTCAACTTGTGTACCACTGAGCTCATCTGACCAGTCCAGGCTCTCCAGTTCTAGGTTAAAGGCCTCGCTAGAGTAGTTTTTGAGGTCTCTAGATATGACTGTTTTGTGACAGCCGGCCCTTTGTTTTAGCTTTTTGCGGGTACAGAATATCATATAATGATCACTTAAACCGCATGCTATAACCCCTTTACTGGAGATCCTGGACTTGTCAGAAGTCAGAATGAGATCAATGGTAGTTTGTGTTGTTTCACATACCCGGGTGGGTTGGGTGATTAGCTGGCTGAAGCCGTGCAGATCACAAATCCTACTGAAGGACTTGAAGACGGACGTGTCTTTACGTTACATATCCGTGTTCCAGTCTCCAATAATAATTGTCTCGACATCCCCCACATCAGCCAAACACCCATCTAATGTATCATAAAAGTCACTCTGTTCCGGTGGTCTATAGATTGTCCCGACTATTACAGATTTAGCATTGTCAAAAAGAATTTCAACCCACACAGATTCAATATTTTCATGATTCAGGTCAGTACGGTTTTTGAAATTGATGTCTTTATGTATGTACATGCAGACACCACCTCCATTCACGTTCCTGTCCCTTCTCACTACAAGATAATCGTCAATTTCAATCTCTGAATCTGTAATGGAATTGTCCAATTTGGTCTCAGAAAAGCATAATATGCTTGCCTTACCGTTCATGAATAGCTGCCTGAGTTCAGCCAGTTTGTGTCTCAGGCTGTTAGTGTTCAGATGAAAAATATGTAGTCCATTTTTGTTGCTTAAATGCACAATGTCGTCAGCTTGCAGATATTTGTCTTTGTATGTTACAGCAACCGGCTTGCGACCTGCCGTGGTGTTTGGAGCGGTGGGGTGGTGGGGGGAGGGAGGCTCCGTTGTAGCTTTAGCCGTTGATATGCTAGCAGGGTGGCTAATAACATGGCGGATATTTGTTCCCTCGGATCTCGGTTCTCTTCCTCTCGTCACTGCCTCATGCGTGTCTGTCTGCCGAGGCGTCCCCGGGGGAATGTCGAAGTCTCCGTTCATTCCTCGGTCTCCGCTGTCTCCACGGTCTCTGTTGTCGTCGCGTAGTTGTTGCTGCAGCGGAAGAGATGCTAGTTGTGATGCTAGTTGTGATGCTAGCTCCTCGAGCCTGCAGGACTGGCTTCTTGTCTGCACCGGGCCCGGATTCAGATGGATATCTCCCGCTAACAATAAGACCAAGACGATCATACTTCTTCGGTCTAGTTTGCCTGACGGGGGTAAGTACTTTCGCGTCGGGTTTGCAGTTAATAATGCATGAATGCTTGCACTTCCAAAAGCGAGGTGTTTCCGTTCCCAGCCGTTGAGAAGGTAAAAGTAATTGTGGTTCATTTTATCCCCGCTTTCATTACTCTCCTTCTCTAAGTGATGTTGCCTCATTGATGAGTTGAGGTAGGAGTCCATAATCCATATTGTCAGGAGGATGAAATATGTAAAAAAATCGTGAGGAATAACCTCCAAAGCAGGAGCTCTCGAAAATGCGACCACTCATAACAATGCCGATGTAGGGAGAGTATTGAGATGAACTTTTGTTATTGACCAAATACTTATTTTCCACCATCATTTGCAAATAAATTCTTTAAAAATCAGACAATGTGATTTTCTGGATTTTTTTTTTTTCTCATTTTGTCTCTCATAGTTGAGGTATACCTAGGATGAAAATTACAGGCCTCTCATCTTTTTAAGTGGGAGAACTTGCACAATTGGTGGCTGACTAAATACTTTTTTGCCCCACTGTATATGGGAACACCTATATGAAACAGAACTGTATACATTTCAATAATCATAAAATCAGGGCCATAAACAATAACATATCCAATATGAAAAAACACTGACACCCTCAAATGGAAATATGTGTTTACCCACTGTGAACTGAGAACTTAGACTAAGTTAACTATCTAAGAGAGTCCTTTACCTCACCTGAGCTGAGGTTATCCCAAGCTTGAATGACACACAGAGACCAATCAAGGGCTTTGATTTATGATCTGTATGACAGTGGCCATGTCGGCAGGCCACATCATGTAGACAGCCAGTCACCCTGTGTGAGGCAGGCCACTTAACAGGCCAGGCCATCGAGAAACCCCCCGGTCCTCCCGATGGCCAGTCCGGGATTGGGTACAGGAGGCGTAGAGCGAGGGATCATTGTCCACAAGTTAATCGATCGCAGATGGCGTCGTGGTCACGGACGAATAAAAAAAAAAAAAATATATATAAAAAAAATAAATAAAAAAAAACCTAAATGGGTCGCGAAATATACTTGGGCGGCCGTTAATATACCTGGGCGGCCCGCCCAAGTATAGTCTATGTGTGGGAAACCCTGGGCTGTGTGTCACTGAGGGCAAACAACAATGCGAAGCCAATGATGTTACAGCTGATACAAAGTTATTGTACATGTTTTATCTGGACTTTACAATTGAAACTTTGTTTTGTATTTATGGTTTGGCCAAAATAACGAGTATAAAAGCTTGTAAGTGAATTAGGACTTTATTTTGGGTGGATAATACTTACTTCTCTCTGTAGTGGCGCCTCCATGGTGGTACTCAGTGCAGTAGATTATGTAACCCAGAAGGAAACCTCTGATGTCGTCCTCTGGGATGGACAACCACTGCAGCTCCGCTGAATTCAGCGATACATTGTCGAAGCTGAGGTTTGTGGGAGCACTGAGCGGAGCTTTGGGAGCACAATATCAAGAAATCAGTCTGTTTGGTTCTTGATAGGATAAGAAAAATCAATATGTATTGGCCTATTAGATGTGATCTTTATCCTTGGTGTTAGCTACTGTAGGCTATCCGTGTAGCTTCTGTTGTGATTTCAATATTGTTCAGGCAGTCCACAACTGAAACAGACTGAAGCATCCCAACAACAATTTGATGGATTGACATGAAAATGTGTATATTCATGGTCCCCAGAGGCTGAATCCATATGACTTTGCAGATCCCTTGACTTTTCTCTCGAGCACTGCTAGCAGATTGTTTGATTTACAAGCAGATTCTCAATTTCTCAACCAATGTTGGATGGATGGAAATTCAATTTGATGCAGACATTCGTGGTCTTTGCTTTATAGCATCAGAGTAATTCATTTATTCCGACAACATTATAAAATAGTGGAAAAGTAGAAGGCCTGTGACTTACATCCTTCTATGGAGTAGAAGTGTGTTCTCCCATAGGTGCTCTCACTGTTGTTCACCTTCTTCATGTTGCAGGTGTCCTTGTCTGGCCGTGTGTGCAGAGTGATGCTGTATCTCTTATAAGGCTCCAAAGGCTCTGGGGATTTAAAATAACCAAATATATTATCTTAGAGGAAGGAAACTGAAACTGAAGATTGTATTTTCATTAGGAATGCACGATATTGGTTTTTTGAAACCGATACCGATACCGATAACTTCCTGCTTCTCAAGACCGATACCGATAATAAAAAAAATTGTACGCCACTAATTATTTTAACGCGATTAACGCATGTGTATTTTCTTTCCTCGGCCGCCCCGTAGTTTCAGAGCGCATCGAGTTTAAAATACCATCTACAAGCTGATGCTGACAGCCCCGCTCCTGCCGCCCGCTTGTGGCAGACCACACTTCCACGCTCACCGGCAGGCACCGACTGGCCATCTGGAGGACCGGGAGGGTGTGTGTATGTGTGGCCCGAGCGAGCGAGAGAGAGACCTTACGTGCATTGTTGTTGTTAGCATCTGGTGCTAGCTAGCTGCGCTAACGGATATAAGGAACTGTTTAAATGAAAACAGAGGAGCGACATTTCACCACAACTGCGCCGAGCACTTGACTTTATGCAGGAAACCAGACAGTGGGACATTGTACGAAAAGTCAGCACACTCAGCACGGATAGTGCGCAAGATGATTGCAGCGTCCAGGCAGCTCCGGTTCGAGCATATGCCTTGAGTTGCAGATAGCTCCAACGCCCATACCACCGACGACATGTTTGTTTACTGTCCTGGCTTCACGGCCGCACACCATTTACGTCATGAGTTAGGGAGCGCTGGATTTTTGAAGAACTCCCCTCTTCCTAAACCACTAATACCACAGTACTGGCAAAACGGGAGGAGCCGAGTGAAAAACAAGCGCCCCTCATCCCAATCCACCCACACCGCAGTATTTTTTTCTTTTTTTTTACCCAAAAAATATATTGTATATTATCGGGGCTATTAATACTGGTATCGGGTTTATCGGGATGACGTCATAATTCCTAATATCGGACCGATAATTATCGTGCATCCCTAATTTTCATACTACCTATTCAAATTAAATGAAAAAAAACAACGTTCTATGAGAATCATAAGGCCACCTAAACAATGTTACTAGCAACAAAATTAGGAAAAAAAACGTTTTTGAACAAATTATGTTTAAACAGAAGATGCAAACATTTTCACTGAAATGAATTGTATTTGCTTATCCTTGCATGTTTTCTGTTTTTTAAGTGGGGGTTCCTGGCACAACTTCACATACGTCCAATGTGTATGGAGAAGGAAAAAGTCTAAAAAGGTTTAACTCTCCAACAACATTTGAAGTAGTCCGAAATACACTTGAAGTATATTAAAACAACCTGAGGACTCTACAGGTTGAGGCTGAACCTTCAAACAAATCCTTTCCCCTGAAAGGTCCTCTGCTTTGTACAAAAACACGTATATCCTTTAACTTCTGAATATGACACCTATTAACTTTTTTGAAAGTGTACGTGGCAGAACACTTAAGTAAAGACATTGAACGGGACAGGGTTGGTCAATATCTGTACATTTTTCCTTACCTGGTAAAGACGTTAAAGTCCTGTGGTTGTGTTCGTCCTCAAAAAAAGACATGGACCCTGCTTTATGTCCCCTCTCCATCCACTCCACAGAGTAGCAGACATAGTTTTTGATGAGATCTTCTTTCCAGTGGATCGTAAAAGATGTATTGTTGTCGACTGTCACATTCAGCTTCTCAGCTCCCGTACCTGTGTGGACAAATTAATAGAGCATATTTGTAATCCTTTTATTGTACAAGGAATTATATAGATCATATCTCCAAAATAAAAATAAAATGAGTTGACAACTAACTTGGTGTGTCTTCTCGCTGTGGTATTGTCTGGCTCACAGCTGGGGATGTGCTAGCGTTGTTCACAGCACTGATGTTGAGATGATATTCTGAATATGAGAGAACCAGTCTGATTTCTGGCTCAGTGGTGATCATCCTCTGACGTGGGGCCTCTCCTGATGCTTTCCCAATGATCACATGGTAGCTATCATGCAGTTCTTTAGCAGGAAACTAACAGACAGGGTCATTTAAATATTGTAATGATATCAGCCATGATTAAACAGAAGACATATTCCCCAATATATTTTGTGTTTCTTGAAAATGTAAGGAGATACATTAAAGAAGAAAATACCTTCCAGGTTAGAGAAATCAGCCGTCTGCCTTTTGTCTTTGCAATGTCAGTATCGTTCATGTTGACCATGACAGGCTGTGTAGTCAGTTCTGAACGAGGACATTTATTTATTAAGAAACAGTTCTTGCAATTTAACAGTTGCATATTCTTTCAGCATGTATCTCACATTTATCACAATTACCACAATAGTATAAAAAAACCTGCTTGTTTTTAATGTTATATTCCGTTTTAAACCAATAAAAGTAAAAAATCAAACGTACCTGCAGGGACACTGTAAGTTTCACTCCATGGACACTGTGGACATCTATCATTAGTGACGCACTGTATCTGCATACTGTAGACCAGTGAGGAGTTTAAATTCTCCACTGTACATTTCTTTCCATTTTTAGATTGCATGAGAGGCTGTGAACCACAAAGAAAATATGTAAGGCCTTTCTTCTTTCCTGTTATATAAATAGTTTGTAGATGACATCTAATCATCTTAGCTCTTTGAGATCTTGTCTGCTAGGGAGACTCAAACAACGACAGGTCCTTCTGTAGTTACATTAAAGGGGAATTCCACTAATTTCACACATAAAGGTCAGTTTACTCGCCATGAAGTAAACTACTCAGTCGTTAAAAACAGCTGTATAATGTATTTCCTTTCTTCTGGAGCGCGCTTTTTAAAGTTTGAGTACTTTGTTTTGTTTCTAGTTAGCAAAGTTTAGCATGCTAGCACCATTAACTTAGACGGTGAACATGGTAAACATGATACATGCTGCATTTTGGCATGTAACAATGTATTTGGGAACATATTAGTGTGCTGTGCCTAAGCCTGTAAAATGTTAGTCTTGTTCAAACAGTCCCTAAAGTTTATTGAAGTGTAGTACTCAATTGATCTTGTGTTGTTTATAAAGTGTAGTTGTATTCTTGTTGCTAAAGAAGCCAAACCTACTCTTCAATGTAGTACATGCAATAATACATTGGAAATGCATGGCACAATAGTAAACTGGATAAGGTTGTTTCGAAATGGAGAGTAGTACGTGTGTTGTCAAATGTAGATAAGGGATTTTGTAACCTCAAGAAGGAATCTTGCTGCTTTATTCAGATAAGAAACACATTTTTAGTTTTAGTTTCCGTCCAAGTTATTTCACATGAAGTTAAAGTAAGACAGCTACCATACCAAATTCTCAGTTAATATAAGATTTAACTTTAATTTCAGTAATCTTGACCTCCCTTTTAAACATTTAGAATATGAAAACTGATTTATGTTGTGTTAACAGGTGTTTGATACTGACCTTGCTCCATGACAGGCTACCCAGTGCTTTATATCTCACTGAGTAATACTGAACATCTTTTATATCCTCATTTGGCCAGTTCCCACTCACATCTAGTTTTCCTGAGTGGCGACTGAAGGAAGCATTATGTGGAGGACCACATCGGACTAAAATAAAAAAAATAAAACATATTCAGTCAGAGATGAATCATCAAAAAGAGAGAAATTATCAGGTTCTTTCTCTTATAAATAAATGTTTTTGGACTTACACAAGCTCATTGGTGACCCTCTGAAAACTGATTTTGTGCAATTGGTTGATGCGCTGTTTTCAAAAACCTCAGCGGTCATGTTGTACTTTTCATATAAAAGTATCCCCTCAGTGATGTTTGTTTGCGATGTGTAAACTTTGCAGTGTCTTATCCTAGAAGGAGAAGAGCTTAAAAAACGGTTTAATGTTAGAAATCATTACAAATGGTACGAACAGTTTCATGTTAGATAGAAAAACTCAAGAAAGCCTACTTACGGTTGTGTTATGATCAGTGTGTATGTATTTTCTGATGCGCTGTTTCCAGGCTTCCACACACAGCGATAGGATGTCGGATGTTTACCAAAACAATCTAAATCATGCACTCCAGCTAAAAGAGAGGCAGTGTAGAGTCACAGTTAAAAGTAAGTCTCCAATCTAATGATTCAATCTGTGATGACTCAAATGTGTTTTTACCTGGGTTTATCCCACAGTGCTGATATTTTGAAGAAAAGTTCTTTGACTTGCAGGGCACTGGAACATAATCAATAATTGGTCATTTTACAAGAATGCTCTGTGCAGAACACAACTCTAAATATGATGCCACTTTTTATTTTATGGTAGGACACGTATCTTATAATAATTACGATTTGCTATCATAGTTCTTGCAGAGAAATAGAGCTATTCATCCGGGAAAGTTATTTACTAAAGATACAATGAACATATGTTAAGTAAGCAGCAGTATGAGGATTTATTATCTGAATTGTTGAAACAAAATAACATTTCCTACCTTTCAAAGCTTGAACATGAGAGGAGAGTGCTGTGTAGTAAACAAGGATCACACCTTTAATTTGAAAAACAACAAGAATCTTTAGGGAGTGGTTTGATTTGAGTACTGTATAATGATAGAGCAGTTCACAAACTGCATTCGTAATACATTACAAAGAAAAATAAGGCTAAAAACCAACACAAAACATAGAAATAAAATAAAGATAGCAAACTTTTAAAGGAAACAATAAAAAACACTTACCAAGGAGGAACACATATGATTTGATTCCATAGGAAGTGCATTTTGAGTCTAAAAAATCTAAAAGAAATCCGCTACCAACCATCTCGCCTGGGACTGACTGAAGACTGAAACCAAGAAACCAACAGACTGGGTTGGAGGCAACCTCACCCCCACATTCTGCTCTTATTCACAATCATGTTGCACACACTAGCTGCTCACTTAGTGACTGAGAAAAAAAAAATATTTTTGTAAGTCATACTATACATTCAGTAGAGGGGTGGCAACACATTTTGACACAGTTCATAGGACTCATAGTGACAATAAACTGACATCTTCTTACTTCCTTTTTCCATAAATAGAGCTGCTTAGCATGCAAGGTTGTAGACTTTCTGATAACATTGATATGCTGTCGCTTTGAGTGAATTCTTTCTTTCTAACAGCGGTTACCGAAAATACACTTTCTCAGACCCGCTGTGACTCAAAGCATGAACACATGACTTTCTGTTAAGTGATTTCATGAGTTCTTCATGCTTATTTTTGCTTTCAAAGAACTGAATGTAATTTTCAATTGAAAATCACAAATTAACGACAGTAACTGACAGATTTGTTTGACAAATGTTTTAATTTTGAATCAGAGATGGGCTGATCTGAATGTTTCAAATTTGAATGTTTTAGTGCTCAAATTGCTCCTGTGTGGACTGTCCACAGTATTGAGTAAGTCGCTTTGGATAAAAGCGTCTAACAAGTAACATGTAATGTAATCTTTGTAAGGACACATACTGCTAAGTTTTCTTATCTGTTAAAACAATTGTTTATTTTTTGTAAATGGAAAAAGAAAACGTAAAAATATCAACAGAAAATTGTCATCTTTTAAAACAATATTTAAAAGAGGATTTTGTCCCCAAGTAAATCTTAAAGTGGACCTATTATGCTATATTGGAAAAATATATTGTAGGGCCATACCTATACAAAACATGTCTGTGAAATTTTGCTTAAAATACCAAACAGTTCACCCATTGTAGCCATCCCTCATACTGCTCATACCCCTCTTTTGCAGCCCTGTTAGAGAAACGCAGATTTTGGGTCCTTAGCTTGAAAAACAAAAAAGAGGAGGCGGAGCTAATGCCTGATCAGAATTCTACCGGAGATAAAGTTAAATTCTGCTGTGATTAAATGCCATCCTGTTCTAAACCACATCAAGGATTATTTCTGAAACAGTATGGAGCTCAAATGCTTTTTCTCTTGCGGGTTTACCACAAGGTGAGTTCCTTTTTTTATTTCCCGCTTTTTAAACACATGTGCTCTACAGTACAGGTTAGCTCTGAGTGTTAGCGAGGCTTGCTAATGTAAACAAAGACGAGATTACGTCCAAAACACGTCAGCAGGGCCGGCCCTAGACTTTTGGGGGCCCTAAGCGAGCTTTGGCTTGGGGGCCCCCCTCACTCTAGCGCGTTCTCACTACACACAACACAGAACCAACTTTTGTCTTATGATGTTAGCATAAGCACACATATTGTATAAATAAGTATGTAAACACCATGGACCTAACCTCCTCTAGGGGGGTCCGGGGGCATGTTCCTCCGGGAAGATTCTTTTTTAAATATTGAAGTTAAAAGCATCAATCTGGTGGACTTTGAGAGCAAAATTAAGAGATCTATGGATACATCTCTCAACACCCATATACAACAGAACTGTAAACAGATTTTTCTTTATGGATATTTTACAAATCACTCCCCTTTTAAACTGTATTCTTGTTTTGTCATAACTTTTTAGTTTTTTCACAACTGTTTTTCATTTATTCTCTCTGGCTGTCCATCTCATAATGTTCACATAGAAACTAGCTGTCAATAGGAATATCATTCAGAAGAATTATAATTTCATGCAAAAATCTGTCACAAAAAGAGGTTGCACATTTAAATTCAGGTGTTGTTATGGCAACGTCAGTGGCCAAACAGCCACATTTACTGCTGCAAATACGTTCAAACATGCTGTCGACACGTAAAGCAGTGGCAACTATGCCACCATTTCAGCTGACTTTTTCTCAGAAATACTGTCACATAACATCCATATATTTCAGTGCTAGGTTGATTCTTAGCTAAGCTAACTATGAAACACTTTAATTGACAGGACTCAGGATCAACTGTGTACTGTAAGGTAGCTTCTAGCTTCATGTCGAACAGTAAGTCAACATTTTCCAGAGAACTTTCTTTGAAATCAACAGGTAACGCTAAAAAACATAACATTTAGATTGTATGACAAAGTGTTTATTTAATATATCTGGCTAGCTATAGCTACTTGCTTTCGGTTTAGCTTACCCCCGCGATTCAAAGTAACGTCAATGTAGCTATAATTTATGCTTTGCTTACATGTTGACATAACTTGGAAGTTTACTGACATTTACATACCTTGTTTACCTGGCTCAAGTGGTGGCTCTGGGGTTGTTGTGTGAGCCACCACTTGAGAATTGCTGTATTTTTTAAGATTTTTTTTTTTATGGCCATCTTCAAAAACTCAAGAGTCCGACTGACAGTTTAAACATTGTCACAGGATAGATAGATAGATAGATCGATCTTTAATTTTGTCATTGTACAGGTACAACGAAATTACAATAAACTCAAGGTGCTAACACGCAACAACAAGACAATATAAAAACAACAAGACACTATAAAAACAAGAAATGGGACTTAAATAGACATGATAGGGAATATGTACATAAATAAATAATAAATTACATATAGAATAGGATTATTAATAGGATAGGATAGGTACCTGTCAGCCAATAAAACACGTTTATTTCCATGCAACTCTCTGGTGATTGGTCTGGTGTCTTGCCTCTGTTGCATTCAATGAACACAGGAAATTACAATCCTGCCGTCCTCTCTAGTGTCATGATGAGGTTCAGGTAAAGCACGGTTAATGTATTATATTATTGACTCAATAATATAATACATGACTTTGAGAGTAGGCAATCTAGGCATATTAACAAAATTGATTAAACATACTTATCACGGCAACAGTGTATGAGTTTTTTTTTTTTTTTCATTATTTATTTATTTTTGCTAGGGGGCCCTTAGTGGCTGCGGGGCCCTAATCGGCCGCTTATGTCGCTTAATGGGTCGGGCCGGCTCTGCACGTCAGGCATTGTTTCTGATAGCAATTTTCTGTGGGTCCGCCACCGACTTGACGTCAGATCGGCAGCAAATCTGTATCCGCTCGTTGTACACCCGTTTTTAAAAGCTTTGGGTACAGAGGAAAAGAGAGAGGGTTTTATTTTCTGACGCAGCGTGAGTTCCCCGACGCACCGGGGACACATATTTATGTATAAAAGATATCACAAAGTGCATTTTGCATGATAGGTCCCCTTTAAATGATGTGCTGAGCTGACCCTCCACTCAAAAAGCATGTACAAAGTTTGACATTAGAAACGCTTTTTTCTCTTTGCTCATCTTACATTTAAAGTATAAACTGTATATTTGTGGAAGCCAATTATAGTGCAATTTGCTACTTTTCAGTGATATAAATGACATCTTGTTTGTAGCTTTTGAAGCAAAATATATTTGCATAGTTGTGGTTACTAGATTTCTTAGTGGTGGAAAAATAATGAGATGCTATTAAAAGGAAACTAGTTGATTGAAGTTTTTTTTAAACCATTCTGATTCCTACTTGTATTAAACATGCAGGTCGATGAAACAAACCACCCATTATACACAAATTATTTTTTAAAGTTGTTTATAATTAAGGGGAACCTTAACTGAGAGTTTCAGTGGAAAATTAGCAGAAGGCATCTGATGTGATCAAAAGCTCCAGAAACACCTCCCGCCGACCTTATGGCGAGGGTTTTTCCAAAATACAAATATGACCTTTAAACCAGCTATTAATAACTTAGTCGTTTTAGACCAGTCAGTTCCTCTATTCACAACCCTATCAGACAATTTAGTGCTGATCTGAAGTTCCCTATTACACAAGCTTCACATAATGTTCTTGACAGTATTGCAATATGTACGTTTTTCGTACTCATGTTCTTTAATCTGCATGTTCCTCCTTCAGTGCTGAGTGCAAACACAGGAAGTTCACTTCTCACCTCACTGACTTCACTTATACGCCTGAAGAACAACATAAATGATGTTTATCATGGTCTGGATCTTAACACTGTACTTTAACTGTGAACCAGCTGTGAGGCTGTTTGAACCTGTTGTTGTTGTGTATGGTCTTCATCTTGTACTTAAGGTTAAATGTCGATGAACTGGAAGTAACAGACAGATACCACAGACATGTTATGCTTTATGTGTTCACAGAGTATGATTTAGGCGACAAAAATTGCAGGTGGATTTCGATTTTTTTTAAAACAAAATTAAAGCAGTAATTATTACATTTGAAAAAGATCCTTGTGGCAGGAAATTCGTTTCCGTTTGATGCCTGTACTCATGCTTTTTCTCTCACGTAAATTTCCCCACCTTTACTCTTATCATCCCTAAGATCAGTGTCGCACTTTGGGCTGAGAGAGTTTAAAGACTGTGTGGGTTTCTTTCATGGTGTTAACTTTGATCAGAAAAGAGTGTTGCATCAAGGGCACAACTTACGGGCACAGCACGTATTAATCATTTCTACCTACATTTCTGTTTTACTCATTTATTCTGTGTTTACGGTAACATGCGGTTCATCATTGATGAAATGTTCTGCATAAGACATTTATCTGGAAAATGTGGTTCAAAGCAAGATATTTTGAAGGCATAACATAAATATGAGAAATAAGTTTGATTTGAAGTTTTCATTAACTATAGTATTTATATGAGTATATACAGATAATCACATTAACACACAAGATATTTACTATACTTTATTTATTTTGGTCGGATGGAATAAAAAAAGGACAGCTGCATCATTTTGCATTTATTGTAAAAAGACTGTACAAAAACGTGTAAAAGTGAAACCATAATTTGCAATAATGTTGTTATTATCACATTATCATGTTTGAGATGATGGTCCTTAAAAACATCAAATATAGTCTGTGAGGATCTTTGTTCCCACTTTGAACCCTCACTCTACCTTAAAAGCACAACTTCTTGTGATTGTATCTGTTTCACATCTTAAGCTCACAGAATCACTGCAATCTTGCTTGATTTGTAACAAGGCTAAATACAAAACAAACGGTCAAATAAAAGACAAATATTAAAATTGTAAAAAACTAAGAAAAAGGAGGAGATCCTAAGATTTTTACCAAATTGTCCCTCTTGAAATGTGTTTTTATTCCACTTAAACAACTATTGACATTTTATATAAAACTGCAAAGAGTCCCCAAAA